AGGTGTGATGTGGTGCTGAGAAGAATGTATATTCTGTGGATTTGGGGTGGAGAGTTCTGTAAATGTCTATTAGGTTTGCTTGGTCCAGGTCTGAGTTCAAGTCCTGGATATCCTTGTTAATTTTCTGTCTGGTTGATCTGTCTAATGTTGACAATGGGGTGTTAAAGTCTCCCAGTATTATTGTGTGGGAGTCTAAGTCTCTTTGTAAGTCATTAAGAACTTGCCTTATGTATCTGGGTGCTCCTGTATTGGGTGCGTATATATTTAGGATCGTTAGCTCTTCTTGTTGCATTGATCCTATTACCATTATGTAATGTCCTTCTTTGTCTCTTATGATCTTTGTTGCTTTAAAGTCTAATTTATCAGAGATGAGTATTGCAACTCCTGCTTTTTTTTTGCTCTCCATTTGCTTGATAAATCTTCCTCCATCCCTTTATTTTGAGCCTTTGTATATCCTTGCATGTGAGATGGGTTTCCTGGATACAGCACACCGATGGGTTTTGTCTTTTTATCCAATTTGCCAGTCTGTGTCTTTTGATTGGGGCATTTAGTCCATCTACATTTAGGGTTAATATTGTTATGTGTGAATTTGATACTGCCATTTTGGTGCTAGCTGGCTGTTTTGCCCTTTAGTTGAGCTGGTACTTGTTGTTCCTTTATATGTGTAGAGCCTCTTTCAGGAGCTCTTGTAGAGCTGGCCTGGTGGTGACGAAATCTCTGAGTACTTGCATGTTCCCAAAGGATTTTATTTTTCCTTCACTTAAGAAGCTTAGTTTGGCTGGATAGGCGATTCTGGGTTGAAAGTTCTTTTCTTTAAGGATGTTGAATATTGGCCCCCACTCTCTTCTGGCTTGTAGGGTTTCTGCTGAGAGATCTGCTGTGAGTCTGATGGGCTTCCCTTTATGGGTAACCCGACCTTTCTCTCTGGCTGCCCTTAGTATTTTCTCCTTCATTTCAACCCTGGTGAATCTGACGATTATGTGCCTTGGGGTTGCTCTTCTTGACGAATATCTTTGTGGTGTTCTCTGTATTTCCTGGACTTGAATGTTTGCCTGCCTTGCTAGGTTGGGGAAGTTTTCCTGGATAATATCCTGAAGAGTATTTTCCAGCTTGGATTCATTCTCTTCCTCGCATTCGGGTACGCCTATCAAACGTAGATTAGGTCTTTTCACATAGTCCCACATTTCTTGGAGACTTTGTTCATTCCTTTTTACCCTTTTTTCTCCAGTCTTGCCTTCCCGTTTTATTTCATTGAGTTGATCTTCGACCTCTGATATCCTTTCTTCTGCTTGGTCCATTCGGCTGTTGATACTTGTGCATGCTTCACGAAGTTCTCGTGTTGCGTTTTTCAGCTCCATCAATTCACTTATATTCCTTTCTATTTTGTCCATTCTTGTTAGCATTTCGTCAAATCTTTTTTCAAGGTTCTTAGTTTCTTGGCATTTGGTTAGAACATGTTCTTTAAGTTCACAGAAGTTTCTTACTACCCACCTTCTGAAGTCTGATTCTGTCATTTCATCACACTCGTTCTCCCTCCAACTTTGTTCCCTTGCTGGTGAGGAGTTGTGATCCCTTTTAGGAGGAGAGGTGTTCTGGTTTCGGGTGTTTTCATCCTTTTTGCGCTGGTTTCTTCCCATCTTTAAGGATTTATCCACCTGTCGACTTTGTGGTTGTTGGCTTTCAGATTGGGTCTCAAATCTTTCAGATTGACGGTCTGTTTGTTGATGATGAGGTTATTTCTGTTTCTTGGTTTCCTTCTGACAGTCTGGCCTCTCTGCTGTAGGTCTGCTGAGGTTCACTCCAGGCCCTGCTTGCCTGGGGTTCACCTGCAGCAGCTTCTGAACAGCAAGGGTTGTTACCAGTTTTGTTCTTCTGCTATCTTTGTCCCAGAAGGATACCCGCCTAGTGTCAATCTGATCTCTCTTTTATGAGGTGTCTTTTTGGATATATAGGGGTCACGGAGCTGCTTGAGGAGCCGGTCTCTTCTTTATAGGAGCTCAAACGGTGAGCTGCGAGCTCTGTTGTTGTTCATTCAGAGCTGCTGGGCAGGTACTTTTAGGTCTGCTGTAGCAGTACTTATAACCTGCTTTTTGTTCCCAGGTGCTCTGTCCCAGGGATTTAGGGCTTTATTTATGAGTTTCCGTTATGCTTCTGCCTTCTTTTTTTTTTTTTTTTTTTTCTCCTTCAGACCTGCCCAGCCCAGCAAGGAGGCAGCCTAGTCACTGTCGGCCTATAGCAGCTTTGCTGAGCTGCTGTGGGCTCCGCCCAGCTGCCGAGTGAACTTCCCTGCAGTCCTGTTTATATGGGTGTAGTTAGAACTGCTTTGGCGATGGTGGCCCGCCTCTGTTGGGGCGGAGTCTCTGCTGTGGCGGGTTGCCTTGGCAACGGCGGGCTGCCTCGGTAATGGCGGACGCCCCTCCCCCACAGAGCTGGACCGTCCCGAGTTCAGCTGTGCTTGCTGTGAAACTCTCAATCCAGAGTTTCTGGTTGCTGTTCTTTTGTGGGGGTGGGGCCAGCCGAGCCTGATCGCCTGGCTCCCTGCCTCAGAGCCTTTTTTAAGTTGGTGTTCCAGTCGCCTGTTGAAGAGGCGCCGGGGTCTGTTTATTTTCCCCTGCGGCCACTCCTCTGGCTTAAACAGCGGCACTGAGGTTTGTGGCACTTTTTTTTTGTTTTTTTCCCCTGGAATCTACTGTCCTGGTTCTCTGCTCAGTCCCCTTTTTGAGCCAGCGTACGGGCGACTTCCCGTGGCTCCAATCGCCAGCCAAAAGGGCCCCCGGACCAGTGTATTTTGTACGGAGAAGCGCTGCTCCGGGGCGCCGACAAAGCAGCCGCGCGGGGCAAAGCAGCGGCCCCGGCCGGCACAGCCGCGCTGGCCGAAACAGCCGCGCTGGTGACCTGTGGAGCACCTCCGCCCGGGAATTTCCTAGTCTGTGGGCAATAAAAACGCGGCGTCCACTCACCCTCTGCGCTTTCACTGGGAGCTGCAATCCTGAGCTGTTCCTAAACGGCCATCTTGGATCCAAAAACCAGTTATAAAATTTTTAAAAACATATAAAATTGCCAATTGTTCTCAATCATTCTAACATATTCCTTTGCATGCATGCCATCAGATGAGAACAGGAGATAAATACAAAATAAACTACAAAGGATTTATGAAGAAAATTTTGAACGTTCATGTTACAAATTCTTTTAAGAAGTACATACATTTATGTATATGTATACAACTATATGTAAGAGACTTTGATATACATTATGGTTGAAAGTTCACTGTAAGTTTTATTATTGTTTAATTACTTTTTGTTGGTATGTTGAGAAGAATATCATTGATATGTTTACAGTGAGTTTTATATTACAGTGGACACTTTGATCTTAAAACAGACACAATAACTCATCTAGGCTCAAATATAATATTCATGGACAAGCTTTTGCTGAAGTGTAGTGTGTACTTTAACTTTGTGTTTTAAAAGGTACATTACTTCAGAGGAAATAAATGATAACTATAAAGAAAAAGGAAAGTTTTGGGAAAAATTTCTATCTGTCTGAATCTGCCATTTGTACATTATTTCTATTTCATTTCTAATGTTGTAGTCCCTTGGGAAAAAAATTACAAAACATAAAGACAAAAAACCTCTAAGGCATAGTAATAGCTTGTGCTCATTTATTTTTAATTTACCTGTGACCTGACCATACCTATCCTCTTATCCTATACTATTTTTCCCTTGCCGGAGACAAAGATCAAACATAACATTTATTACAAAATTCAATCCTCATTTTTCATTTACTAATCCTTCTGCTATTCAGCTAGCAGCATGATATGGTAGAAGAGCACTAGATTGAAATCCAGAAGACCTGGATGCTAACCTGGTCTCTATTGCTTACTAGTTATGTAACTTTAAGCAAATGACATAAACTCTAATCCTCAGCTTCCTCATTTGTAAAATGGTAATAATACTTGCCCTGCATTTTTATAGGGCATTTGTGAAACTCAAATTAGATCAGGCATGTTAACGTTTTTAAAAATATATCACAAGGGCAGAACGCTTCAGACGCTGAGAGACAGGAGGCACTAGGGATCGTCTGCAGGATTAGGACTGCTGCAGAGGTCGCCACGAAGCCCGCCGGAGCCACAGTTCCTGCTGCTGCTGCCGCCGCTGCCCAAATCAATCAGAACCGTCAGGCCGCAACTGCCAGCAATGCCTTAAAGGAAGAGGAATGCAGGCAGTAGTTCAGATGGAACCAAAGATTCCGGTTTTTCTACAGATCTCAAGCACACAGACAGTTCAGAAAGTGACGGCACATCCCGACAATGTGCTCAAGTTACTCGCTCCTCAGCCAGGCTAAGCCAGAGTTCTCAAGATTCCAGCCCTCTTCGAAATTTGCAGTCTTTTGGCACCGAAGAGCCTGCTTATTCTACCAGAAGAGTGACCCGTAGTCAGCAGCAGCCTACTCCAGTGACACCGAAAAAATACCCTATTCAGCAGACTTGTTCATCTGGCTCAGAAACTGAGCAAGTGGTTGGTTTTTCACATAGAGAAACGAAAAATACAGCTGATCATGATGAGTCACCACCTCGAACTGGAAAGGATCCTTCTTCTGAGTCTGACATAGACATTTCCAGCCCCAAAGTGTCTCACGATGAGAGCATTGCCAAGGACACGTCCCTGAAGGACTCACGCAGTGATCCCTCTCATTGCCCCAAGCGCCGTCACTTTCACGAAAGCTACAACTTCAATATGAAGTGTCTGACACCAGGCTATAACTATCTAGGATAACTTACAGGAAAACATGAGAGACATTTCTCCATCTTATGAGGCCCTCTCTATGATAACCTCTCAGCTGACGAATGCAAGATGAGAGCACAGAGCCGGGATAAGCAGATAGAAGAAAGGATGCTGTCTCACAGGCAAGATGACAACAGGCCTGCAACCAGACACCAGGCACCAACAGAGAAGCAGCTTCAATATAAGGAAAAAGTGGCTGAACTCAGGAGGAAAAGCAATTCTGGACTGAGCAAAGAACAGAAAGAGAAATAGATGGAACACAGACAGACGTATGGGAACACACCGGCACCTCTCACAGAAAACCTGACAAGCGAGTATCAGTTGGATCTTTTCCAAAGAGCACAAGCCTGGGCTTCAGAGGATTTGAAGAAGCTAAGGCTGCAAGGCCAAATCACAGAGAGAAGCAACATGATTAAAACAATTGCTTTTGGCTGCTATGAGCTTGATACCTGGTACCATTCTCCCTATCCTGAAGAATATGCATGACTGGGACGTCTCTCTATGTGTGAATCCTGTTTAAAATATATGAAAAGCCAAACGATACTCCACCAGCACATGGCCAAGTGTGTGTGGAAACACCCACCTGGTGATGAGATATATTGCAAAGGTTCAATCTCCATGTTTGAAGTGGATGGCAAGAAAAACAAGATCTACTGCCAATACCCGTGCCTGTTGGCCAAACTTTTTCTGGACCACAAGACATTATATTACAATGTGGAACCCTTCCTGTTCTATGTTATGACAGAGGCGGACAACACTGGCTGTCACCTGATTGGGTATTGTTCCAAGGAAAAGAATTCATTCCTCAACTACAACGTGTCTTGTATCCTTACCATGCCTCAGTACATGAGACAGGGCTATGGCAAGATGCTCATTGATTTCAGTTATTTGCTTTCCAAAGTCGAGGAAAAAGTTGGCTCCCCAGAACGTCCACTCTCAGATCTGGGGCTTATAAGCCATCACAGTTACTGGAAAGAAGTACTTCTCCGCTACCTGCATAATTTCCAAGGCAAAGAGATTTCTATCAAAGAAATCAGTCAGGAGACGGCTGTGAATCCCATGGACATTGTCAGTACTCTGCAAGCCCTTCAGATGCTCAAGTACTGGAAGGGAAAACACCTAGTTTTAAAGAGACAGGACCTGATTGATGAGTGGATAGCCAAAGAGGCCAAAAGGTCCAACACCAATAAAACAATGGATCCCAGCTGCTTAAAACGGACCCCTCCCAAGGGCACCTAAAGTGACCTGTCATTCTGAGCCAGCGAACCCCAGCAGTAGGAATCCGTACCCTAGGGATCTGTCTGTCATTTCTGTTGCTCTTGTGATTGGCAAGTACCGTTTAGGAAGGCCATCCCCCTCAGGACTGTCCTGGCTCTGACCTTCATGTACACTGCAGACGCTGGTTCTAAGGAACTGTTGTTTCAGCCTCAGTGAGGTTGCCTGGATGAGATCTGTATTAGACTTGAGTGCAGATCTCTCAGCACTGACCTAAGGAGTTTTGTTATGGTACTGTACGTGTCCAGCCACTGGTTCTCTCTTCATGTCCTCTCGCCCCATGAGGTTGTTCTGTGTCTTCTAAGCATGGTACTAGTGCTTGCCACCTGTCACCAGCCCTCCAAATATGGCTGCCACCACCAGGACCTTTCCAGTTACTCCTAATACATATGTTCTATGGAGGGGCAGGGAAGAGGTGGCACTTGTGAGTGTGTGTGGATTAGGAGGGGGTCCATTCACTTTGGGCTATATCTTGCTTTAAATTTCTTTCCTTCATTTTGATTGAGAGACCTCTTTTTGATCAGTATTGGGCTAACCAGATCCAAATACTTTTGAAGAGCTTCCCAGGGACTAGTCATGGTAACAGCATATAATTTATCTGAATGAGATGGAGAGAAAAATGAAGTGGTGGTTCTGTGCTTGAGTTCACCTGTGGGCAGTGGGCAGTGTCTTGGGAGAAGGGAATGGATACTTCTTTTTGCCTCACCAGAAAGGACCCACCAGTAAATATTTCCTTCTCTCTTTACTCCCAGTCCCTTTGTACATTTGCAGGTGCCAAAGTCATATCCAGTTCACCCTTTCCTGCTACATGCTAACTGGTTAATTATACTGCAGAAACTTTTTCACCTGTACCAGTCCCGATGTACATCTGTCCTTCCATATAAATTGCACTGGTTTTGTCTGAATGCCCTGGGAGAAGTTGAAAATGATTGAAAGTGCCTTCTGTATTTCAGCCCATGACTCAGCAAGGCAGAATGCCCGCCCCTGCCAAGGTTTGCTTCTCTTTTCAATGGTGCCTCACCCTCCCTCTAGGATTAAAGTGCTTCTGCCCTTCCATGAATTCCTCCTCCATTTCCTTTTTGGGATTCGTACCATCCTTCTTTTGTCTGGTCTTCTATTTTTGGTGTTGTTCAAGTGGAGGAAGAGATGTTTCCTCTAATTTCTCTCTAGCCCATTATAACCTGCTATCTTGAGGCAACTTTTGATGTATGACATGTCACCCTTCCCAACTTAGTCTCCTGCAACATGCTGTTTTCATGTGGAGCCCTCACCACAATCCCTGATTCTGGTCATTTGTGCCTTTTTCTTGTCATCTCTGTATACTACTTATATTCACTGTGGGTTGTGAGAGCTAATTTTAAGCATGTTCAGTGGCAGCTTCCCTCCAGTTTCAGTGTCACTGTTAAAATTTATCCAAAAGCAACTTCACTGGGAGTTTTCTTAAGGGGTAAAGGCCTTTTAAAGAAGCTAAACCCTCCCCCACGTGGTAGAATGTGCTCTTCTATATCTAGTCCTCAATAAAGCATGTTCTCTGCTCAGAAAAATATATATATATAACAAGATATAATTTTAAAGTATTTAGAGGTGGTATTATTAAAATTACTGAGTAATACTTACTACATGAATTCTCAGTTTTGAAAGAATTTAAACAAAATATGGCCATAGTTAAATCCTACTCCACATCAAAGAATCTTGTGGTTTATTTCTTCCAGGATTTTGCCCATGTTATCATTTCTAGTCATAGTCCCACTTCCTCCCATACAGCAACATACTATAAAACCTTCAATTATTTGCAAGTCCACCATAAATTTGTTTTTTTTTTATGTCTTATGTATTTATAACCTCTATCACTCAGAATAGTACTTAATGTTTTCACCAATTTCTCCATATGTGTTAGTACTGTCTCCCAAAGTGGAGTTATCACTTTGTGGAATTATAAATTCCTTGAGGTTGAAAATTATGTATTTAAGTGGTAGTATCTAACATTTAATAAAATCAAACGATGTACTATGTTCTATTTTAAGTGCTTTACCCATATCAATGCATTTTTTACTTACAACTGCCCTGCAAGGTATGTACCACGATTATCCCTGCTTTGCTGAATTAAAAACTGAGTTGAGGTTATGTAACTTGCTCAGTTCGTCAGCTAGTAAACATCAGAACGAAGGTTCAAACCCAGGCAGTCTGATTTCACAACCCATGTTCTTAATTTGCTATAATATCCTGCTGTACCATTTTCAAGCAAAAAGCTTCAGCTGTGCAAGAGAAATACATTCTAGAGATCTGTTGTACAACACTGTTGTCTATAGTTAACAATACAGTATTGTATACTTAAAAGTTTGTTAAGAGGATATATTTCATGTTAGGTGCTCTTATCACAGTAAAAGATATATAAATATATAGAGAAAAAGGGAAATATAGAAAATAAAAGTTTATTTTTTAGTGTTTTTTTTTAATGATTTGTTCATTTATTTTAAAAACTAGGTTTAATTAAACTATAAGCTTATATTTTTTAATTACATAAACACATGAACCATGACCTAAAGCCTATTATTTGAGTTGGAAGAACATCTTAAGAATATTATATCCTGGCCAGGAACAGTGGCTCACACCTGTAATCCCAGCACTTTGGGAGGCTGAGGCAGGTGGATCACGAGGTCGAGAGTTCAAGGCCAGCCTGGCCAACATGGTGAATGCCCATCTCTACTAATAATACAAAAATTAGCTAGGTGTGGTAGCACACACCTGCAATTCCACCTACTTGAGAGGCTGCGGCAGGATAATTGCTTGAACCCAGGAGGGAGAGGCTGCAGTGAGCCAAGATCATACCACTGTACTCCAGCCTGGGTGACAGAGTAAGACTTCATCAAAAAAAAAAAAAAAGAATATTACATCCTAGAACACTGACATTGGAAGAAGCTTCATATTTGTGATTCATAATGGCCTTCACACACATTCTTTTGGTTGTAAACAGTTATTTTAAATCTTATCAGCTATTTAAACTCTCACATGTACTTACTTTTTTATTTTCCTCAGCCAATATGGTTTCTGTATATCAAAAAAACTCAAATATTGAAATAATACTCTACATTTTCATCTACAAAATAAACATAAATGGTTTTGTATACTCAGACTGTAAACTCTGGTTTTCTTGGTTGTCAAAACCTCCTAGCCTTTCACTTTAGTGATAATTTTGCATTTTAATTGTCCTTTTAAGAAAATTCAATATATATTTCAATATCTACTTCTTACTAACACTTTAGTGACTCCAAAGGTAGAAAATTCAGGAGCTTGAAAGGTGAGATTAGATCTCAGCAATGTAAATTTGTGGACCCTTTATGGTAAGCACGACTGCACTGAAGGTAGGAAAAGAAGCTCATTTATTATATTCTACTTCATGCGTACAAACCCAGGTTAAATTGGCTTTGCCTGATACTAAAATATCAAAATGTTTCTGAGAAGCCAAATCCAAAACATTTCCTTGATCCACCCAGAGCTCTGTTACTCCACATAAATCTCAAGACAATTTCTAACTGCTCATTCATCTGCTTATTTCTTGCCTTTTCTCCGCACTATTTGTAATCTCTTCATATAATCCCCTTCATGATAACTCTACTAAATCACAAGAATGTATTTCTTTTCTAAATTACAAAGGCATAAATTAAACTTTATTAGATTCAAATGGAACACATGCTCAAGTGACATTTAAATTCGTATACCCAAGGAGTTGACCTTTACAGTTTCTCTTGATAGCTAGTCACTTGATCTAAGAAATGTTTTACATGGCACTAGCACTATCTTAGAAATTTAACCCAATTAAATTATTCTTACAAAAAAGTGTCCTTTTGGTGCAGAAAGTTATTTACAAAACGAAGTAAAAGTATGCCCTTGCCCCACTGCATTGCACTCTGGGTAAATGAAAATTAGCATATTTGTTTCTGAAAATTCACAACTGCTTTTGTTTAAGTGTTTTTTCACCTTCGTAACTTGAAAGAGTAATGGTATCTTGAAGACACAGACAGTCATGAAAATTAAAGAATGAAAAATAATGTTTTACATCCCATTAAGAAACAGATTATTCTTTCTGCAACTTTGGCAAAGAATATTTCAAATTATTACCTAATTCTAGTCTCCCTTAAAAAAAAAGTTAAGGTTGGCCAAGATGGTCAAATAGGAACAGCTCCAGTCTGCAGTTTCCAGTGAGAATGCACCAGAAGTTGAATGATCTCCACATTTCCAACTGAGGTACCAGGTTCATCTCATTGTGATTGGTTAGACAGTGGGAACAGCCCAAGGTGGGCAAGCCAAAGCAGGGTGGGGCATCACCTCATCTGGAAGGTGCAAGCAGCCAAAGAACACTCTTGCCCAGCCAAGAGAAGCCATTAGGGACTTTTCTGGACATTCCAGCACTCCGACTCAGATATTGCATTTTTCCCACAGTCTACACAACCTGGAGACCAGGAGATTCCCTCTGGCACCTACAATGCCTGGGTTTCCAGCACAAAACTGGGTGGCTGTTTTAGTCAAGTGGTGCCTGGAATGCCAGCGAGACAAAACAGCTCATTCCCCTGAAAAAGGAAGCTGAAACCAGGGAGCCAAGTAAGCTGGCTAGGTGGGTCCCACCCCCACAAACACCAGCAAGCTAAGATCCACTGGCTTGAAATTCTGGCAGCCAGCACAGTAGTTTGAGCTCGACCTGGGACTTTCGAGCTTGGTGCAGGGAGGGGTGCCTGCCATTGCTGAGGCTTGGGTAGGTGGTTTCAACATTGCCTGTGTAAACAAATCCACCAGGAAGTTTACACAGGAAGGTTACAGAGCAACAGGCAACAAGAGCCCAACAAGGCAGCTCAGCAAGGCCTCTGCAGGCAGACTGTCAAGTAGATTCCCTTCTTGCTGGGCAGGGCATCTCTGAAAAAAAAGACAGCAGCCCACCAGGGACTTACAAAGTTCCCACTTTCCCAGGGACAGAGCACCTTGGAAAAGGGACGATTGTGGGTTTTGCTTCAGCAGACTTAAATGTCCCTGCCCGGCAGCCCTGAAGGGAGCAACGGATCTCCTAGCACAGTGCTTGAGCTCCATTAAGGGACAGGCTGCCTCCTCAAGTGTCTCCCTGACCCCCTCCCCCAACATGTGTCCTAACTGGGAGACACATCATACAGGAGAGTTTGGCTGATATCTGGCAGATACCCTATTGGGACAAACCTACCAGAGGAAGAAACAGGCAGCAGTCTTTGCTGTTGTACAGCCCTGCAGATGATTCCCAGGCAATCAGGGTCTGGAGTGGACCTCCAGCAAATTCCAGCAGACCTGCAGTAGAGGGGCCTGACTGTTAGAAGGAAAACTAACAAACAGAAAGAAATAGCTTCAACATCAACAGAAAGGATGTCCACGCAGAAATCCCATCCAAAAGTCACCAACTTCAAAGATCAAAGGTAGATAAATCCACCAAGATGGGAAGGAACCAGTGCAAAAAGGCGGTAATTGCCAAAAGCCAGAACACCTTTTCTCCTCCAATGGATCACAACACCTCACCAACAAGGGAACAAAACTGGATGGAGAATAAGTTTGACAAATTGATAGAAGCAGGCTTCAGAAGGTGGGTAATAGCAAACTTTCCAAGCTAAAGGAGCATATTCTAACCCAATGCAAGGAAACTAAGAACCTTGAAAAAAGGTTAGCCAAAATGCTAACTAGAATAATCAGTGTAGAGAAGAACATAAATGACTTGATGGAGCTAAAAACACAGCACTAAAACTTCATGAAACATACACAAGTTTCAATAGCTGAATCAAACGGTAGAAAGGATATCAAAGATTGATGATCAACTCAGTGAAATAAAGCAATAAGGCAAGAATAGAAAAAAAAAGAGGTAAAAGAAATGAACAAAGCCTCCAAAAAATATGGGATTATGTGAAAAGGCCAAATCTACATTTGATCAGTGTACCTGAAAGTGACAGGGAGAATGAAACCAAGTCAGAAAACACTCTTCAGGATATTCTCCAGGAGAACTTCCCCAACCTAGTAAGGCAGGCCAGTATTCAAGTCTAGGAAATACAGAGAACATCACAAAGATATTCCCCAACAAGAGCAACCTCAAGGCATATAATTGTCAGATTCACAAGGATAGAAACAAAGGAAAAAACGCTAAGGGCAGCCAGAGAGAAAGGTCAGGTTACCCACAAAGGGAAGCCCTATCAGACACAGTGGACACCTCAGCAGAAACCCTACAAACCAGAAGAGAGTGGGGGCCGATATTCAACATCCTGGAAGATAAGAATTTTCAACCAGAATTTCATACCCAGCGAAACTAAGCTTCATAAGTGAAGGAGAAATAAAATCACATATGGACAAGCAACTGCTGAGAGATTTCATCACCACCAAGCCTGCCCTACAAGAGCTCCTGAAGGTAGCACTAAACATACGAAGGAACAACCAGTACCAGCCATTCCAAAAATGTACCAAACTGTAAAGACCATCGACACTATAGAGAAACTGCATCAACTAATGGGCAAAACAACCAACTAGCATTTAAATGGCA